TGCTGATCCCTTGCTGTGGGTTTTCTGGAATTACTCTGGGTGTTTGCCCATTTGCATTGGGCAGAGGGACTGGAAGAGGCAATCTGGCTGTTTCAAAGCTGAGCAAAAATAACTCTGGGTGGGGTTGACCTCAGCACATTGACTGCACCCTTGGCAGGAAAGGGTGAGTGTCGGGTTTGGAAAGCCAGAGGCAGGGCTTTGGTGTGTCATTTACTATTGTGGGTGTTGCTCTCAAGGATTCCCTGCTCCCAGAGTAGAAAGGCACAGTGGTGATGTTGCATGGGATGATATCTCTTGGTGCGGGTGAAAAAAGTTTGCTTTTCTGGCAATACACAGTCCTATACAGGGGGAAAAAAAAGATCATTGTTTTCTGACCTTGTGGAGGGAGGACCAATTTTGTGTTGCTGCTTTGCAGGACTGCCCCCTAAGCTCTGGCGAGGAGAACCGGTCATCGTCCTCAACCCCACCGAGCAGCAGGTGGAGGTGGGGAAGCCTCTACAGCTGCAGTGTGCTGCCATGGGAGTCCCAGCCCCCAGATACCAGTGGTACCGGAATGGGAACCTGCTGGAACACCAGAAGAAAAAAAAACTCTGGGTAACGTTGCCTTGGGATAGTTCAGAAACTTTGGCTGCTGAGGTGGGTGATGAGAGAAGCTTGTTACTTGGTGGTGGGTGTGGGAGAGCCTCAGACGCCTTGGAGAGACTGCTGAGAGTTGTGTTGTTGTCATGCTGGATGTGACAGGTGGCAGTCCTTAAGCCTGGCTTGTATCTGCACATCGGGGCTTGGGCATGCTTTGTGGTCAGGTGAAAGCCAGCAGAAAGCAGTCTCTCCTTGCTTGTCCTCCCCATCTTTCCATCCCTTAAAAAGCAGCCTGGCACTCAGCTTTCTTTCCCTGCTGTGTTGCAGGGTTGTGAGGAAGCACTCCACATATCAACCCTGTTGCTTTGATAGCTGACTGAAGGACTCGGGGTGAAGAGGAAATACGTTTTATGGGCTTCTTTCAAAGCTGCAGATGTTTCTCTAAGAAGTAACCAATTCATAGATGTGACAAGGGCTCTCAGCACATCTCTCATGCCTTTTTTGCAGCAGTGGCACAAGAACAGCTATTGTGTGTCTGTGGAGTGATGGAGCTGAGGGAGTGCTGTCTGCCTGCAGGAGAGCTAGAAGAAAAAGTGGTTAGTCCCAACAGGAAAAAGCCAGGGAGACAGCAAAAGATATGGGTTTATTTTGTATCACTGGCTGAATGTAAATCAGTACTGTCTTCTTGATGCAAGAAAGGCAGAATTCCTCCTGGGGCATCACGTGAAGGGTAATGAAGACAAGAGATGCAATCTCTTCTCAGTAGTGGTAGATGATATTACAGGGAACGGTGGTCTCAGATTGCTCTTTTCACAGGGAAGTTCAGGCTGGGGATTAGGAAGAGGTTCTTCATTTGGAGGTGGGTGGTGCTGCACGAGCCAGAAAGGCAGTAAGATCTCTGTCCTTGGAGGTTTTCAGTACTCAACTAGACAAAGTCATGGTCAACCTGACCCAATGGTGGCTTTTGTTCCTCTCTGAGCAGGAGCCTGGGCTGGAGAGCCACAGAGGTCCTTGCCAGCCAGTACTGCTCTGAGATTGTCCCACATCAAGAGAGATGGATAAGAGTTAAAATCTTTCCAGAAGAGAGCAATGGGCATGATCAGAAATGTAGAAAATGTCACCTAAGTTAAAAAACAGGCAACTGTCTGATGTGGGTCATGCACCGTCCTCCCAGTGCGGCTCCTGGGGCAGAGTATGGCTGTGACACAGCTGTTTAGGAGCTCCTGGAAAAAGAAGGGAAAGCATTTGGGCAGAGGATTCTTGTACTCTAGAAGCTGGGGCCAGCAGCAGACCTTACCGTGTGGCCTTACTGAGCTTCTTAGAAAGACAAAAGTCATGGGAAATGACTTACGAATGCTTTGTGAAGCAAGGAGTGAGGTCTCAGCGAACAGCAAGAAAATAGTTTCTATTCCAGACACACAGATGCCTTTGGCAGATACTGGCAGGGTTCCACAAACTTTCAGCATAAATAATGTGATTTAACTTTTGATCTGTCTAGATCACCCATGCAAAGGTCAGTGACTCTGGCACCTACCTCTGCTGTGCCTCTAATAGCCACGGAGAGCACTGGACCAACGCCGTGGATATTCACATAGGTGAGCAGAACCAACCCATGTCTGCTTTGCTGCGAGTCACCTTCTAGCATGAAAAATCATTAGGGGGCAGGAAGGAATTTAGTGCTCTCACCTGGAAGTGCCAGGCTGGTGAACAAGGAGCTCAATGCTGGCATGTTACCCTGTGGCTCAGCCGGTGCGGAAAAGCTGGGCTCAGGGGCTGTGGGATTAGAAGCAGGATGCGTGACTCTGGCACTTGCACCTTTCCCTAGCTTGGATGGATCTTGCACGCTTTTATTATCAGAAAGAAAAGCCACCAGTTTTAAATACCACTTCTGTAGGGAGCCTAAAGTAAGACACTTCAGAGCAGAGAAGCAGCAGGGAAGCTGGAGTGTCCTGGCAGTCTTGTGGTGGCTGTCACAAGAACAGCCTGCAAAGCGCAATTTCACACCCTGGATATACTGGATACCATGATCTCAGCAGAGCTGTACAAGCTCTGCCGAGCGGTGGGCACAGGCATCCGTCAGACCATGATAAATAGCATTCCTTGATAACGGGGTTCAGAGGTAGTGAGGGAAGCAGCGTCTGTAAAAGAAAAAACCCAAAACCCAGTGATCGACTGCATTGCGGCATGGGATGCTGCTGGGTCCTGCAGTCTGTCAGAAACCTTCCACGTTAGGGCATGTGAATGCTCTCAGACACTCACTGTGGTTTTCTTGCCTTGCCAAGGTGCTGGTTCAATAGCTTGTCGGCCAAATCGCAGCAGGCTCCTGTGCTAAAACTCATTTACAGCCTTGCTGAGATGAATTGATGTGCTGAGACACATAGGGCTGGAGAGGGTGGTGTTTATTTCGGGCAGGTTCAGGCCCCTTGGGCTGGCAGCCCAGGCCTGGTGCTGCGTGAGCTGGCGGATCCCAGGGAGAAGACTGGCCAGAGCCTTGGGCATGCTCCACCTTTGATGTGATGGACGCTTTGGCCCTCTGCCTCTGCTCCCCTGCTGCTAGACAGGAATAGCATGGGCTAGCTTTCCTGGCTCTCTACTCCATTTAGAGATTTTTCTATGCCATAAGCTTCTCATCTCACCTTTTAGGCTGGCTTTGAAATTGCCCCAGGATGCAAACTGGTCCTGGATAGCCAGAGAGCACTCTCCCTGCCTCCTTGCAGCTGGTGAAACAGCATACAGGGTGGACAGGGCAGTGAGAAAGGGTCACCAGATTGGGTTGGGTTCAAAATGTTACAGCTGGGTAGCTTTAACATGCAACAGGCGACTCTGTCAGAGGCAGAAAAGGACGAATGGGCTTGTTCTGATGGCTTTCCAAGCATTCCTGGTGCATTCGCAACACTGGTTTAGGTGCTAAAGGTCTTCCAGACCCATGAAATGTATGCAATTAAAAATGTGCTCTTAATTTCTTCTTTTAGAGCCTGTAGGATCTTAGGGTTTTGTTCTGGTCTGGATTTATTTTTTAATTTCTATTTAAATAGGGAAAGTGATGATTTTAAGAGACTGGGAGTGCTCAGGTAGGGGAGCATGTGGAGCTCGCAAAAGTGAGTCACATTTGGGGTGGCCTTTCTGAGCCAGAACTGCTGAAAGGCAGGGAAAGGCAAAGCAGGGTGGCGAAAAGCTCTGGGAATATTATCACAATCAAAAGCAAACAGGTGGCTTCCTCTGCGCTGACCGCTCATGGGGACAAGCTCTGTTTTGAAGCCTATGTTGATCTTGAGTTGTGTTTCCTCTGCTTTCACTGCAGTGAGGGAGCGGGCAAGTCATCTCGGGCAGCGCGGCAGCACAGGCAGGGCTGGCACGAGCAGCACAGACCTGCTGATGGGTATGAGCTCTCCTGTGCTGGCCCTTCTTCCCCTGGCCTGCCCCTTCTCCAAGCTTTGCTTCCCAGCTGCTCAGGATTTCATAAATCAGTCAGAATTTCATAAATTCTCCTGAAATCGCCAGACCAATGTCTTTAAGGTTAGCAATCAAGCTATGAAGAACTTGGTCGAGTGGTGTTGCTTGTGTGGATGCTCTGTGGTGCTTGATCCAACTTTGCGTTGCTCAGACCTGCGATGAGAGCTGGCAGTGGCTTGCTGAATACAGGCTTATCATTTCCCTTTTTCTTTTCCAGCTACGTGTTGCTCTGAAAAGTTTTTTGGTGAGTATTGATCTCTTCCTGAGCAATTATTCCCTTAAATAAAAGCCAGGCTCCAGGGTGGATGGGAGGATAGGGCACAGGAGTGCTTTTCCTGCACAGACTGCTTCAGGCCTTTATGCCCATATTGTCACGGGCTCTGCACTTCTGGGATCAGAGCTGGAAGGCACAGGTTGAGTCCCATCCCCTGCCAAGCCCCGATCAGCCTCAGCGAGTGGAGTAAGATTATTCCTAATGAGCAACCCAGTCTTGACTGCCGTGCCCACTGACTGAATTCACATGACACCTTTTTCTTTCCTTGAAATACCTCCTCGGAGCAGGGCAAAGCTCCTTGCTCCCACCACTGCTGAGTCCTTCCCTACAGTGGACAGATAAATATAAAAGCAAGAGCCCAGGATTTCTCTCCTCCAGCCCTGTGGGGAAAGGACTTCTCAGCCTGGGTCAGTGCATCCACCTCCCAGGCACTGCTGGCACGCAAGACCTGCGGTCATGGTGCTGAATAACACAGAATCACAGAATCACAGAACGTTAGGGATTGGAAGGGACCTCAAATGATCATCTAGTCCAATCCCCCTGCCGGAGCAGGAACACCTAGATGAGGTTGCACAGGAAGGCGTCCAGGCGGGTTTTGAATGTCTCCAGAGAAGGAGACTCCACAACCTCTCTGGGCAGCCTGTTCCAGTGCTCTGTCGCCAGAGAGAACCCAGGAGTTCAGTTGGTCACTTGAAAACTTTCCAAGTTGTTCTTTCAAGATGGTGGTTTGTGTTATTTTGTCGAAGTGTTCAGAAAGCCAGACTCTTTCTGGAGGGTGCTTCAGGCATGCAGTGGCATAGAGTCTATCCTTCCTGCCTAGCTGTAAGCAAAGATTTCCCGTGTCCTCACTCCAACAGAAGGTGAGGTGAGGTGTTGCCTCTTGCTGAGCATTTACAGCTTTGTCACTTGGTGTTTCTTTTAGCTACAGGCAAGATAGCGCTTTTAGTGGGCAACAACCGCTACCAGCATCATCCCAACCTCATGGCTCCTGTCACGGATGTGTTTGAGCTAAGTCTTCTTCTGGAACAGCTGGGCTTCCAGGTTGTCTCCCTTCTGGATCTGAACAAGGCTGAGATGGTGACAGCGGTCAGTCAGTTCCTGGAGCTCCTGGGGAAGGGAGTCTATGGTAAGGCAAAGCCAGCCCAGCTGCCTGCCAGTGCTGAGCAGCAGCAGCTGATACCAGGGAGGAGCAGGGATTTGGCAATTTTCTGAACAGCTGTTGAATTAAAAGAAAAGAAACTGAACTTTCCTTTGTGGGGTCGAGGGAGACCCACAGCACAGTCTGCAGTGGTGCCAGGCTTGGCAGAAGCCCCTAGAGAAACACCACTCAGTTTTGGCCAGGTTACAGCCAGGCAGAGTAGGTGTTTCTCCATCACATGGCTCACCTCCAACTCCAACAGCATGGTCTCATGCTGAGGTTCTAGGGAGCTGGTGCTTCTGATGGTGAATGGGAGAAGGTGTTTTGATTTTGCCTTAGATGACAAAATTAAGGAGATTGACTGTTGACTGCCACCACCACTCTCCTTTGTGAGGAGCTGAGCTCCTTTTGAACTGTGACTGCTACAGCTGGCCACAATTTCCTTGTTTCTCTTTCCTGATGGTCTAATCTGGGCTTCTGACAGCCTTTTTGCAGAAGAGCATTCCCAGCTGCAGATAGCTTTGAGGTTGGGTTTGAGTGTATCGCATGCTGGCCTCAG